GCTTAGACTCAACAACCTATAGATGCTGTACATTTCTCTTAATAAAGACATCTTTAATGGGACTAATTAGACTCCAGAAGATTTACTGGACCTTGGGACTGAGTGTGCAGGCTCTGACAGCAATGGCTCTCTAATCTTTGCTTGAAGACCTCCAACAATGAAGCCACCACAACTCCAGGAGACAGGAATATACGTTAATCCAACTGCCTTAGGAATATCATACCTGCAACACTGCATAGTTTCATCTGACCTGAGTTTTAAGTGTTACTTGCTTGCCAGCTCTTGCTGGCTAAGAGGATTTGAAACAAATACTTCTGGAAAAACGTGTGTGCTGGCTTCTCAGCCTGTTCCTAGATGCCTGAGTTCCCCAGCTCATTAGCACTGCTTTCCTGTGATGCAGGTATCTGAGAATCATCTCTGCAAGGACTTGAGAACTGAGCTTCTACGGCTCATGGCACAAAAGGCAATTATAGAGGAAAACAGCTAAACTTTGATCTTTCTACCACTTGGCAAAGGGAAGTCATGCATTTTTTCTTATTTAAAATGTCCAAGATCCTTTACTATGATTTTTGCCAAGGTTTGGTTATTGTAATTATTAGTGTAAAACATACCAGCCATGTCAGCCTAAGTGTTCTAGGTCAGGCCAAAGTTTCATGTCATCCAGTATCCTGCTTCCATCAATATTCATCTGCCTTAAATGTTTTTCTCCCCTAAAAGTCAAGTCAAGTCAAGTCTTTTTCAAGTCAAGCATGATTTCTTCTGATGACCAAAAAATATTCATAGAGTTTTCCTGGCAATATTTTAAAACTGGGTTGTCACTGCTGCTTTTAGGGAATTTTTGGACTTTCTAATCTAGCCTAAAGTCTCAGGGTTTCCTGGCCATCTGAAACCTGGCCAGAGATGAGCTGTGAAGTTTGTGCAAATGACTGACCACTCATTCAAATGTGGGTGACGGTCAATTCCCGCAATGAATTATGGTTATGTATAACTTGGATCTTTTCTCCTTTCTTGTTTTAATAATATTATCATGGCTTAGAACTGCATCCCTCAATACTATTTTTTTTCAATTGCTAAAAGAAAAAAGAACTTTCTAATCACACCGCTTAACAAGGTTATTTTTTAAATAGCATTAGAAGATAATACTGTGACATTTCATAGAAGTGCTGTGCTGGTATTTTGAATTTCTTTAAAAACATATCATAGCTATAGAAGCGTTTAATTATACTTAAAATGGAAATAAACGGATGACAAAAATGGCATTTGCTGCTAAAGATCTTTTGAAGGCACACGTGGCCCATGATGATCACAGGAAAATGGGCTGCGCAAATAACACACCCAGTCAACTGCAGTTCCATTTGGGGCATAAGGACACAAGAACAGAAGCATTATATCTGAAGATTTCAAATCATAGTTAAGAGTAGCACAAAGAATCTGAAACTACCTGATTGATCTTGCACATCGTAAAAACAGTCCGGCTAGATCAGGCCAAGAGCCATCTTAGGTCAGGGGCCAATCAGACATACCCTTCTCCCACTGTCATTCCCCTGCAAGTGGAATTTGGAGGCATATTGTCCTCAAGAGGTAATCCTGAGTCTTTAAGACCAGGAGCCCTTGATAGACAAGTTCTTAATGAATGTATCCAAGAACATTGGTCCTGAAGTACCCCCAATGAAAAGATCATATCTCCTAGCCAAATCTTGACAGTAAGACAATAAATGAGTTTAACAGACAGGCTTCCAGTGTAAGTCATGGCTGACTGAAGAGGTCTCCATGAGTGGAGATGACAACTGCTGTGAAGAATGAATGACTGGCGAGTAGACCGGTCCTTCGAATCTCTCCAGAGAAGGAGAGATCAGGAGATTCCCCATGAGTGCTCTGAATGGTAGCTCCTTGCAAGGAGACCATAAAACAATGGTCTCTCACAGTTTGAACATCAGGAGTTGAGGGAGACAACATCTCTGTTCTCAGCAGTGGTAGAGCCTTTTATAAGGACACTAAGCCAGCCAAACTCATTTTCTAATCACATTCAGAAATGTTCAATTTAACCACTTTATGGATATTAGAGACCTTCAAAATGATGAGCCTAA